CAGAGGCAGATGATTCAGATAAAGAACGTGAAACAGCAAGTATCTGAAAGTGCCCTGAGTAATTCCTGGCTTCCAGCTATTTGAGGGATAGTAGATAAGCTCCATCCCAGAGTTACACTTTCAATGCAACTACCCCTACCTGATTTTGCCAAATTCATATTTTAACCCACCTGTATTTTTCTGCATTTTATAATATAATACGTATTTCTGTATTTTACCTCACTTTTATCTTTCTGCTCCAAATTATCACGTGCCAATTCCATGCCACGATTTAATTACACATTGCTTGAGAAGCTACTTCAATTTTCATCAACTAGCACGTTTAATTCACTGGGTGGCCTAATTCTTGTGTTAAGAAAAATAGCTGCCTTGCTTTCTATTCATCATTTCTGTATGCTCTGCAGATTTCGCAGACCCCTGTCACCTCTCCCCTTATTGTTCTGTTTCTCAGACTAAAGATCTCCATCTTCCCAGCACAGAGGACCTTCCACACCTCTCATTTACTTTTTCACTGTCTACAAAACCTTTGCTCTGCTGGGACAATTACATTAGCACATACTACTAAAAATTAGGACACGCCATTCATATACATAATGACTTAACAGTTATTTTATTCTTTGTGAAAAATTCCCAACAGCTTTCTTTGCGCTGCTTTTTAACCATTAATAATAGCCATATACCAGTTTCTTGGAAAAGCTTGTAAGATTACATCCAATATCACTCATTTGTTACCACTTAACAGCCTCTTTAAAAGGAGTTTCTTGTCTCATCTCCCTTAACAGAAGGTACAACACTGGACTTGTTCTGCTCCTCCAGATTGCCAGTGACATCAAGAATTCAGTTTATGTCTACCCACTATTCCTGATCGAGCTAGAATCAAACCGATCACACCAGACAGTAAGGGATACACGTGAATGACAAAAACAAAAAAAAATGCAAAATTGCAATGATTGCAGCACTTTACTTTGCTACAATTTACCAGCACTTCTAGCTTTCACAGTACCAACCCAAGCTCATAAAAATATACAGTGGTGTTAAGAAACCCAAAACAGAGATGCTTCTCCCCTGTGAATCATTGTTATCCCTGTGTCTAAGGGACATCTTCTACCCAGACTGAGCTTGCTCCATATGCAGGGACCAAATTCAGCCATGCCTGCCAAAGGAGCTTCAGTGGAACAGCAAAACAACGTGTAGGAAAAGCAGATTGCCTTGCAGGATCCTGGAACCAACTGCTTCCCCAAATTCCTGCTGCGCTCTTAGAAAAAAGAGTCAGATTGTCCCTGCAGGCATTCCCTACCTTTGCTTCAGAGCTTGGATCATGTTGTCATTAGTCCTATAAGGAAAGGGTTACAACAGACTAACTTAAATCTACTGTTACCCAGCATGCAGCACATTACTTGCTGAAATAGATGAAAGTCAATTTAAAGTAGCTCAGCATACACCAAGTACACAACTTTCATTTACAAAACATATAAAACCAAAATTACACTGATCGAAGTTTTCTCATGGACTTCTAAACACTACTCTTTTGTTTCCAAACAACAAATACAATTCTGATTCTTCTTCATCTCTGGAAATAACCTTTTATAGTCAGAACACTGTCTACATAACTTTGAAAAATATATGAAGTTTTACAAGACTATGTGCTTTTCCCATAGACCTACTAATTTTTACACTGCAATAAAAATAATTTGCACTACTCAACAAGCAACTCACTTGTACACTTAGCTGTACTAAGGAATTCTTTAGCTATCCAGTTTGCATGTCTTCCTCTCCCACATTCAGAGATCAGTCATCAGACCTAAGACCAGGGGCGGCTAAACCTGCAGTAGGGCACGACACACTGCTTGTATTCAAAAACACTGGAATTTATTGCATCAAAATGCCAAAGTTCTGTGAAGATCTAGGACATTGACGAAGTTCTAGGCTGTCAACTTCTTTTATGAAGTGAAACCTGGGTGCCTTCCAAAGGCAAACAAAAATTATTGTTGCAAGCCAGAGAGAAGTGTTCTGTGATTCATGGTTTACATAAGGAGTGTGCACTCTGCAGTTCTTTTGGACTCCATGGCTAGTGAGAAAACTGGATTCTGTTCCTCTGTTCCATTTAGGCCTATATTTTAATGTGAACACTGGAAATTCGGTTCCAAAACTCAGGAACAGAACTATTACAGTACAAGAAGGCAACTTTCTTTGCATGTCTGATAATTTTAAAAAAAAAAAAGTTAACAGAACTTCATGTTCCAAGGCAGATTAACTTTTCCACTGCAAAGTAATACAAACACACCTTATCTGAGCTCTAAAGTTGGAGCCAGTATCAAATCCTGAGAAGCAGCACCCAAGGGAGTGTGCAAGGAAAAGTAGCCTCAAAATATGTGCAAGTCTAAAGACTTGGTCAGTGTGGAAGTCTAGATGTGCAAGTCTAAAGACAAGGATGTCTTCTCTTCAGGGAAGCAGCTCTGCATGCTCACTACAGGGGCCTTTCACCCACTTTCATGAAACACTACCACAAAGTAAATAAATAAGTAAACTTTAAAAAAAACATGAGTTAGCTACCTTAGCTACCACTCTTGCATCTACTATGTAGGGGAACTTTATCTCTCAGAAGCTTAAAAACCATAACTGATATACTGAAGCAAACTTAAAAAGCAAACATTACAAATTTCCAGGGCAGTGGATGACTTTAACAGCTGCTTGAAATATATATAAATAAAATATATATTTATATGTAATACTATCTTAACTACATTTTGTTAATGCTTCATTTGAAAAGTAACTTTACTTCATATTCAGTTATAACAAAAAAAATAATTGCAGAAATTCACACAAGCATGTGTCTGTATCAACTTTTCTTACCACTTTTCTTACCTTTAAAGTTCTAAGAAAGTTATGGTAAAATCTGGTTGGAATAGACAGTATCTTACAAACTAGAAGATTTGCAAGTTTGGAAGAACAATGTTCTTCCAAAAAACAGTTTGCTTTGTTGGAACACCAAGTGGTGTTGCAGTAGTTTAAATGTGGACAGAAGTCAATGCATAAGCTCAGTTCCACTTTTGTGCTAGAAAACATACCATTTTGACATGAGTCGACAGCAACACTAGGAGTAAGTTTGGGACTGAAAGTGATTCAACCACCCCTGTAGTCAAGTATAGTGAGAAATCTACTGCATCAAATACCACAACTTAAGGCTCAGTCACACGTGTTAAATGACTTTAAGATCTACTAATAACAAGCGGATAGAGAAGTCACATGCGTAATAGCAACAGAACAGCGAAGCGCATGGATGCCTACGTTATTTTTTCAAGGACAAGAACACTTTGCTGAAGGTTTCTGAAGCATTATTTCCTTTTCCACTCCTCCTCAAAAGTGTAAGCACTCATGCTGCCCTTCCCAATCCAAGTAGGCCAAGGCATAAATCCGGTGTACCGGAGTATCATCCCACTACTGCCCGATCATATTTCGGTCACTGTCTTTGGATCACACCTGGCAGCACTGCAAGAATAACAAGTGTTTAGTGCCATTCAACAGCATATGCCCCAAGGACAGAGGCAAACACTGTGGAGCAACAGAGAGTTTCAGGGGGCACCTCATATTTTGGACTGCCAATCCCTAAAAGCAGTTTACCAATGGCCCTCATTCAACTGACTATGTAGTAAGACACCTAAGAACTGAAAATTATGTGATAAAGTTTTGGATGTATAATAGAAAGCAAGAAAAGAAAAATCACTAAAGTAAAAGTTACTTTTACGGAAGCTTTCTCCTTTTTGAACAGAAGTATGGGTGAGGTGTGATCATCAAGTTACAGCCAACACTGCCCTTTAAGAAAACTAATCTTATGAAAGTTAGCACGAACACTTTTGATTCTTTCAGCCCACCAACAGACAGGAATCACAGGATTGTGTACTCTAGAACTGCTTAGGTCAGTATTTTTGAAACATGATATGCTCATCCAGACCTAAAGACGCTAGTTCTCCCAGCCTGCTTAGTATTATCGCAAAGCAACGCTGGAGAAACTACCTAAACCACACGATGCTGTTTTAGTGCTTTACGTGTTAGCCATAAATGAAAGCACAATCCAGCAAAGCCACTAAGTTAAACATCACAGTAAAAACATCCACAAAATGCCATGGGAAGTAATGACATTTCTCTTTAAGTTAAGCAGTTTTTCCTCAATTACAGCTAAACAAAGTTGTGTTGCGCCTTGGTAATCAACAATGAGCTTTTGCTTTGAGAACGACTTGCCAGTAGTTAAGGAGGCAGAGTGCTGACTAATAAGGGAACTACACTGATCAATTAAAAAATAAATAAATCCACTTCTAGTCAATAGTGCCAAAAAGCCTCCAGGCTAGCAAACGAGATGCAGAGATAGCACCATTCAGACTCATTGAAGCGCGCTCTTCCAAAGCACACAAAACGCTCAACTCGGGACTAACTGGTAAAAAAAAAAAAAAAAAAAAAAAAAAAGCCTCAAGCGTTTGACTCCACTTCTCCAACCTTATTGACCACCACAGGGTTAGTTAAAAGGAACAACGCCACCCCGAAGCCCCAGCCCTCAGCCAGGAGGGTGCAGACCCCAGGGGAAGGGCAGGCAGGCAGCAGGGGCACGTCCCGGGGCAAAAAGCCCCTGCCAGCCCTGCTGTGAGCTGTGCACACACCGGCCCGGCCCCAGCTGGCCCCAAAGGCCGACAGGAGAGGCCTGAAGGGCCCCACACACACCCGTGGGGAGCCGCCGGGACACGGGGGGAGCTGGAGCCTAGAGGGGGGGGGGGGCGGCTTCGAGCGCTTCATGGCGCGAGTCGAGATACAAAAGAAGCGAGCCCCCCCACCCCAAAATAAATAAATAAACGGATAAATAAAACACCACCGCAGCACACGCCGATATAGCGAGTTACGCCCCAAAGCCAACAAGCAACGGAGGGGCCGGGGGCCACGGCACCGTGCCCGGGACACGGCAGGGTCCGGGTCCGGCCCCCGCGACATGGCGGCTGGCGCCCCCAACTTACCAGCCCGACTCCCCGAGCGCCGCCCTCGCCCTGTCGGCCATGGCGCCTCCCTCCCGGCCTGCCTGCCTGCCTGCTCGCTGCCGGCGGGGCGGGCAGCGCCCGCTCGGTTTCCCCCCCGCCCCTCGGCCCGCTCCGGGCAGCCGGCCCGGCCGGCTCTCGGGCTAGGGGAGGGCGATGGAGGGAAGGGAAAGATGGGGGGGGGGAGGGAAAAAAATAAAAAAAAAAATAAAAAAATGAGGGGGAAGGAAGGGGAGGAGGCGGCGCAGGCAGCGACGAACAAAGCCCGCGACCGGCGCCAGCCCCGCTCCACACCCCCGTGTGGCCGCTATAGGGAGGAGGGAGCCCGGCTGGAAGCCGCTGCCGCCATGGCGGGGAAGGGAAGGGAAGGGCTGAGGGCACGGCGGGAGGAGGAGGAGATGGCGGCGGGGCGCTGCCCGCGGCGGGGCTCTGGCGTGTGGCACCGGCCGCCCCGGGTCCCTCGGCCCGGAGCCTCTGTCCCGGAGCCCTGGTCGGGATCTGTGTGGGGAAGGGGGGTGGCCGAGGACCTCATTTATCTCCCGTGGGAAGAGTATAAATAAATACGTGTAGCACTAATAGCGTCGGGTAGGAAGAGTCCCCTCCATGTCCTCAGGGTGGGTGGTGGGGTGAGAAGTGGGTTTTCGGGGCAACGAGATGTAAAAGAGGCTGTTTCTGCGTTTGTGTCTTTCCTAATATTTTGCCCTGAAATGAGCATGGAACTTTATGGTCTGCCTTTTTAATGGGTTTTTATAACTTAAAAATATGGCACTTTTTTTCATTTTCACTGTTATATGTATCTCATTACTTCAGGCTACTTCAGTAATCGACAAAAAGTGTTTGTTTTTTGTTTTTTTTTTCTGTACCTATATACTCTAGTATTCAAAGAAATAAGAAAAAAAAAAAAAGAATGTGAGCAGGTAATCAGTTAAGAAAATGCCTACCCTAGTCTTGGTCCTCAAGGTTTCTGCCTGCAGCTGCCTTTTGAAAGACCGTGAAAATTAACATTAATCAGTCATGTCTACATGCTTCCGTAGCCAGACAGTGTCAAATGTTAAGTTTCAAAACTTAGGTACCAAAACTTAGGTACTTTGTGTAATATGTACACCATGAAGGTGTATGCTCCTTCATGGGTCATTCTCATCCTTGGGATGTTGCAAATTTCATTCTTCATCTTCTTCAAATCAAAACTTGCTGTGTTTTGTTTGTTTGTTTTTAATCCACCCGAAAGCCTGGCATTGCCAAACTGACTAGCAATCACTCAGGAGAAGATTTACTTATCACAAGCTGTGACTGCTGCTGTACTGACCAACGCTGTTCTCTCCTATATGCTTTGTCCTTATTCATACTGCATTGAATTGTCCTATGTAATATACAGATATAAACTCTTGGACAAAGGTTTTGTTGCCAACACATACATTGTCCTGCGTGACTGCTGTTTTTCAAGAAATTATACTTTTTTTTTGAATCAGTTACAAAAACTTGGTGCAGAAAAAGAAAACAAAACCTACATTGTTCAGATGAATCTGAGCAATTTTTTGTGTTGTACGTATAACTCTTGAAGATTTTCTGATCTGGAGCCTTAGCGGAAAGAATATACTCTAGCCCTCTAATGAGATTCTGCTTAAAGTAGACTGACACATACATCTTTTCTGGCAAAATCTCAAAACAATGAGTGTCACGTGTCACACTCATGGAAGTTTCAATCCACATGCTGGTCATTAAAAAAAAAAAAAAAAAAAAAGGAAATACTAATTAGGAAACTGCAACAACACGTTTTTGATGGAAGTGCATAGCAATCACCAGAGCCATCTACGCAGATCTGAATAAACTGAGCCAACCCAGTCATATTGTTTATGGATTGCATAACCATATGACTTCGGGATTTTTAAAGTTTATACAGTCCCATGTCATGGCAAGACTCCGGATGAACAAGAGCTTCCAAAGCGGTAATACCAAGGAGAAGTAAAACAAGAGCCCTGAGATATACCTACTGTGTGCCTGTACCAAAGTTCTTAAATTAGTAGCCTGACATCAAGAGAGTCACTCTGAAATATTAGTGGCTGAGTCACACCCTTCATTCCAGCAGTTTTGCATGATGAACAATAGTAGCTGCTGACATGGAAAAGTAGCAGCAGATAGGTGGAATGGTAGTGCCAATTCAGTCACTTATTATGCAAAATAAATGGAAATAAAAGAACCTCTCATTTAGACTTTGACCTGGCTGCACATGAAATGATCAAGAAAAGGTTGTAAACTTTGTTGTAGCTCAAAAAGGGGTGCCTGTACAGCCAATTAGTAAAGGATGGAGTATGACCTAGGAGAAGATAATGAGAATTGCAGACTGTATGCATTACCTTATATTAGTTTAAGACATGGAAGCTTTTGCTAACTTAAATCTTCATCAAAATCAGCAGGCAATTATACTGGTGATTTACACCAGCAGATGGCTATCCATTGCAACTCATGGCACAAAAAGCCATCTGTAAAGAAAAGGTAGTAACCAACGTTGTTCTTCATCAAGGTGCATAAGCATCCATTCCCACAAATTCATTATATGCAAGATGATATATAAATATATACATATATATACATACACGCATCTTTTGTACATGAGAAGTTCCCATTAGTGCATGTTTCTCTGCGAGCAGAGGGCACTGCCCAATCTTTGCTATTTCTAGTTGCTGATAGCTGTGCCGCAATGCGAGGTAAATAATTAGGTCCACTCTAAAACAGAAGGTGATACAATGCCTGCCAGGCTGACAGAAAGCTGCAAATTGGAGGAATAAGACCCTCTGTAACAAGTGTTCATGATAAAACATTCTTAGAGCAGACCTTTGTATCCATCCATCGCCTTTTGAGTAAATGAGATTGCTGAAAGTAATGAATGTCAGACTACTTGGGGCTGTACAGAGACTGATCCTAGACTCCAGCACACCTGCAAGGGGCTCTGTGCCTACATAGTTTTCCCAGAAAATACAACATTGCATCATTCTTTACAAAATTCACGTAGACTCCTTATGTCCAAAGTATAATGTAGTTCGATATACTTCACTGAAGTTGAAAAACTCATTCCAGTTTCTCATTCCGAGCACCTGTTTCAAGTGTTAGCTGTTGAAAAGTGGGAGGTTAAAAGGCAAGGTCTGTGATGAACAAATAACACTGCTAAATTTACACATAAAACTTCAGGATTATTTGTGATACAAAATCACTTTTTATAGTATCTTTGAAAAAAGAGTAATTTTCAGTCACTGTGATGGCTTGCATAAATGCACCCACATGCCTAACTGGTTGACAGTTGCATTTAAAAATGCTTTGTGTGTAAATCAACTATGTTAAATTTAAGAAATACCTCAACCAGTTCCTCTCAGAATGAAATAGGGAAGTGTCATGGAGCAGAGGGCTGGCAGCTTCTCAAGGGAAGGCAAATCAGGAACAAAGCACACTAACAGGACAGGCAGGAGCAGCAACCTCACCATAAGGAACCACTGGCAAGTCCAGGTCTGGATCTGGGCCAGAGATGGTGTTTAGGGTCAGAAACAGCCCAGTGGTGACCCAGTGGCCACCACGACAAGGCAGGTCCAAGCTTGTGCCAGGAAGCCCAGCTGGTGGCTCTGAGTTCAGGTCCAGACTGAAGAGCTACAAGCCCAAGTGCAGACCTTGCTGCAACACAACTGTGATGTAGCCCAAGCAGGGGCAGGTGGCACATCCCCCAGCTTAAAAGCAGTCCCTAAGGGAAAGAAAGGGCAGGGCATTGCTTCTGGCTTCTTGACAGCAGCTCTTACTGACACTGAAGCCAACCTTGGACTCTGCCAGGTAGACTCCTTGGCTCAGCCAACAAAACTCCCAAAAGGGGGATGTGCTCCAGGCCCTGTCAACTAGTCAGTTCTGCAGTTGTGTTAATGTGGGAATCAGTCTGAGGAGCAACTTTTATCTTTTATCTTCATGTATCTTTGAAGATGGGTTTCTCTGTTTGTTTTTTTTTTGTTGTTGTTTGTTTGTTTTGTTTTTGTTTTGTTTTGTTTTGTTTTTTTAATGCAGAAACAGGCTTAATAGAAAAGCATTCTGAATCATCCAAAACCAGGGCGCGAGACATAACAACTTATTCTGATATGTCTTTTATAAAGGGGTTCAGCTTACAAGGAAAACTGGAGAATTATTAAACTGGAGACTGTATTTGTCTTCTTCAAAGAAATAAAATGCATCTAGTACTTTTTATCTTCAAAGTGCTATACATGAAGTTATTTATATTTTAATGCAATCTTCCTAAATCAATACAGTTGTTTCATTAAGTTTTAGATTTATTAAATTTACTGTTTATATATTATATGTGTTCAAGGTATGACATGGCTATTTAAAGAGGTAGAGTGGTAAATGGGGAAAGACATTATCTAATATGTCATCTTAGTAGTGCTAACTGCAAGTATGCAACGATGTCCAATAATGTAATGTAAGACCAAAGTAAGTTAAAGTGACCCCTCACCTATGCTGTGCTCTGCCTCTAAACCACATATAATTATGCAGTACAGCTTGCTTTTCTCCATTACATTCAGATTATTAACCAACAAAGTGTAAAGTATTACAACTTAATGTTATATGAGTATCATACTGCTTGCATATCTTATATTTATTTGCCTTATTTATTAGAAAAATAGGAGGCTAAGAGGAGAAATTGGATTTAGGCAGCAACTAGCTCCTGTTGTTTATTTTAGCAAAAAGTAACTAAATCCTGTGATTTCTTCACAAAGTCCACAATGTGTGCAGTGTGGGATACAGTAACAGATGGAGGCAGTCCCTCTTCTGTAGTACCAGGTAATGACAAGCATGTAAAGATATGCCTAAAAGGCAGTATCTCCTGAATGCTGCTCATGTGATCTGGGACAACCTGATCTATGACAAAGATGTCATTTCCACAGTGCTCTGTAATTGTAAGTACATAAAATGTTTGGTCTGCTTGAGGACCTCCTTTAGGGCAGTGGAAAGGCAGAGAACAGGCAGAACTAGCACATAGGGCAAGACAACAAAAGTTAGGTGGGCACTTCTTGTATCAACCCCACAGGTTCCCTTCCGTGGATTGAATCATCCTGGCTGCCCCCATCTCCTGCCAGCTCAGGCTCTGCTCACTTTGGTTCAGCAGCAGGCTCACAGAAGTGGGGAGCTGAAGCTAATGACTGTGCCTGCCAGAAATGGGCAAGAGCTGA